ATAAAATTCATTAAGTTTGACAACATTAATGGCCATAGTGCAATAAAGAAATAATTTATTTTTTTTGGAGGCTTTTCCTTGAAAGCTTACGTTAAATTGGGCAAAATTTATCGTAAGCAAATTCACGTGACATTTACAAGAAACGTTTTATTCCTCGTCGATTTTAAATTACAAAATTCGTGTGCATGTTAGTTTGAAAAATGTACAGTTCAAAATTGAATGAGAGATTTCAAATCCTTTCAAAGTTTCTAGTAAAAATATCAATTTTTATCTACGCTGAAATCAGTCGTAAATTACATCTTTGATTTCTAATGAATTTAATGTCAAATAAATGCTGATTTATCTTTGAATCAACGTTAATTTATTACGATATCGACTATATTAAAGTTAGAAGCTTAAAATAATTTATTTAAATTGCAACTGCAATACTACCACGAAAAAAGCATTTTTTGAAAGAAAACTACTAAAATTAACTCAAATCATTGCTGAATTAAAATAGATTTAATATGGCATCAACGCAGAATCAATGAAATAATTAACGACTGTTTTCAGCTTTGAAATTTTTGATAAGAAAATAATTCAATAGTACATAACAGATATTAAATTATAAATTGTATTCAATGTGACATAGGGTATGTTATAAGCGATTTATTTAAAAATTTTACAATTCAGTATATAGTAGAACCTTCTACGACGGTACTTATATACATTTTATAATTTAAAACACTACGGATCAGAGATGAGTAGAGAGATTGCTAACGCCAATGCTACGGCGTGAGACAACTTTTTTCCACTGATCGGGGCGACCCGCCGCGGCCAGCTGTCGAACCAAGGCGCACATTTTTCGAGAGTGCGAGACTCGTATCGAAGAGCGTGCGCCTACAAGAAGAGAAGTGGATTCGCGTGGAAATGAGCATATAGGCGCACATTTTGGCGACACGTAGAAGGGGTATACCGAATGTGTGCCTACGAGGAGAGGAGTGGAAATGTTGACTATAGCTATATATCTGAGCGCACAGCCAAAGCAAGCGACGACATGAGTTTTTCTCTTTTGACTGCAACCGAGTATATGCTATATATATTTAACTGACTCTTACTCTCTCGCTCTTGCTTGAATGATATCTATCAATCTTACATTCGATTAAATCGTGAAACTAAATGCTCATATAATTATATGCACAGAATTTGATATCAAAACATTTTTTTTT